AGGTTTAACAGTTTTGGCAGTAAGTATTTTAAATAGTTTGGTCTAAATAGTTTGTCCTAGACATTTGGTTTCTTTTTTCATAAGAAAACACCCCATTTTGTTTCATAATAAAGTTTATTCTATATTACAAATAGTATTTTTGTTCTTGACTGCAAAATAGGAATGCATTATATTTACATACACAGGTATACAATTAATTGTAACAAAGTTAGAGAAGCTTGCCTTTTCCAAGTTTCATTTTCCCCCAAACAGCATATTTAATTTTTTCATCAAATATCATAATATTAAAAGTCTTTTCTAACATTTCTTTGACACCTGCAATAACACTGAGCTCTAAGGACATATTCTTACAAAATGTTTAAGGTGGAATCTTTATCAGGCAGTTTTGAAAGGTTTCACATCCTCTGAACAACATTCATTGTAGATAAGCATGAAACAATTACATTTTCCTGCAAGAGTAGTACAACACTGAACACTACATTTTAATAGATCTTAATGGCAAAAACCAAATAACACTGGGTGTTTATCTTAGTACTAAGTGACTAGTAATGAGAACAAAACACTTAACAAGCAAAAGCCAGAAACCTAAACCAAGAGCAATGTTGGAACAAAAGAAACAACATAAAACACATGATAACACAAACTCAAACCCAATACAGAATCTCACTCTGAAAATTAAGCCCCCAGAACCAATACAGATTCCTCAGAGGGACCTGAAGAGCCTAATGGAGGTTCCTAAGGGAAGCAAACAGACTACAGGACTTTTTTCCTTCATTCAAGCTTGCACCAATATGCTATTTGCACAATTTATTTTAAAAAGAAAAATCACTGTGTTAAATGAGTGTAAAGCCATTTGGTAAATTGATAAACACTAAAATGTGTTTGCGATTAGAGTTTAAAGTGTGCATGTTTTCCAAGATTTTTCTTTTCCAATAAATACAGCAAATTGCAATCAGGTGCAAATTCCTTGATAAGACTTATCAAAATCTTTCTTTGGAAAATGTACTGCAACTTACATTTTAGTAATTTCTTGTTGACAGAACTAATATTCACTTCTTCAACAGAAAAAAAAAATAGAACAAAACCTCTGCATAGAAAAAATATATATCGTAAAGAGCTATGCAGGATTTATTAAGCCACATTAAATTTAAAACTGTTTTTTTTGCTTCTTATTCACATAAAATGAGTGCCAGGCTTTCATAGGCTCACTGCAGAAAAGCTCATTGTATGCCCATATAGCTCATAATCTAGAATCGTGGCCTAAGGACACTGCCATACATCAGTAGCAGTAAATGACAGTAGTAATTAAGTTTTATATTGTATTAAAAGGCACATTTATCCTTTCTGTGGATATTTGCCATCAGCCTGGTTTTTGTGGCGCAGTCCACTTGTAATCTCAATGGAGAAATTTACATCAACCATTTATAGAAGCTGTCTACTCATAGAAAGACAGTCTACCAAACTGTAAAGATATTAAATCTCTGTGAGGTTAATAAATGATATATGATAATCATAATACATTATATTGAAGACAATTGAAAAGAACAGTATGGGAGAATCCAACTCCAGTTTTTAGAATTAGCTTTTAGCATATTAGATAAATATTTTGATTGCAAGGCAGTTCCATTTCATAACATCCAGTCAACATGCAGGGTATATATTTTTTTTTAAGGTACCACTTACATTAGCGTCTAATATTTTATAAAACATGGAATGGTCACATGGATTACTGGATAAAGGTTCCACCTTAACAGAGTAATATAATAACATGACAAACCACTCTGTTTGATGCTTCCAAGCAAATAAAAAAAAAAACACATCCACGTCATTGCAAGGCTTTTTTTCTTTTTCTTTTTTTTTTTAATTGTAGTACATGCGCTTAAAAAGCCAAAAGATCCAAGGTGGATCTACTGAGGCATCCACACATTCACATCACAAGTCTGGCACGTTTCAAGGCAAAAGAAAGCTTGAAGGTAAAAGAAAAGGAGGGCAGCTCTATTGTCATCTGACAATATTCGCATCCAAATGTTTGTATTGTTGCTCTTTTCAGTGTTAAAAACTCTGAGATCGATATCAACCTCAAAGAAAGCTGTACCTTCAAAGACGAGATTCACTTTCTTTCCAAATTCTTCGGTTGTGCAAAATGGTAACTGGATTGGGCAAAAGATACAGTGTGCAAAAATGGAAAGGACAAAAATAAAAAGCCAGCTTGCCCGCAGATTATTTTACACACTGAGGCTGTAAATAAAATATCATTTTCTTGTTTCTTTTCAATGTGGCACTTTATTTTTCTTTTAAAATCAGACTCCTTTGGTTTTCTGCTGGCCAGCATTGTCCACTTGTTCCAGAGTCTCACTGAACATCCAGTGAAATAAAAGTCTACAACTCTTCACAACAAAGTTGGGATATCCAAAACTTGCTTGTACCAATTAGGCACAGAACTGTGCATTAAGTGGCAGTTTAGAAGTCCCCATTCTGCAGTCTGCAGCCTTCATATACAGTAAGTCAGTACATGTCAAAAAAGTACACTACACATCTCTTAGTTGTCAATTTCTTTTTTTTTCTCCAGGCATTTAAAAAAAAAAAGTCCTCGCCACATAATTTTGGACTTCTGTAGCACTACAGACGGTACATTCGACTGATGAGGGACATTATTCACAAACCTATGCAACACTTCATCAAAAAATGCAGTGGTGGCACATATGAAGAAACAAGCATTGTTACCATTATCAGCTCTACAGTAAATGAGTCAGGTTCAGCGTCTTTATGCCTGAGGATTTGCCTTTTCCAAACATTCATCTGCAGGTCTTGAATATTTTAAATAAAACATCTTCTTTTTGAAGTTATCCATTTTTGTTATCAGCACAATTCTAAATTTGGAAATTTAGGTTGCAGGATATATTAGACATCAGCTGAATTCTTTTTTTTTATCCTATCTGTTCTATTCAAATGCCTTTTCACCTTACAATGGTGAGGAAAAGTTTCGCCCACAATTAAAACATTTGTCCATTCAAATTACAGATACATTATTTGTCTTACTCTCTTCTGCTTCTTTTTGGGTCTAACAATACAAATGCTTTCTTTATTCCCTGTATGCTTAAATATAAATTATTCTGGCCTGTAAATCTCCCAAAAGATTCTTGGTTTGTTTACCTTTTTTATGACATTGCATATTGTCCTAAATGTGATGTGCCTCTGTTATAGAATTAATCTCCATTCTGTTGAAAAATCAAAGCAAACTGACACCAAACGTTGGTTCAGATATTTTTTTTATATCAGTAGTATATACAAGGCAACACTTTACCAGGGGATTAATTAAAATCCACTAGTCCGACAAGCTCTTCTATCCCCATTCATTCTTCTGTAAGTAGAGCTAACATAGTGATACAATGCTTGAGCTACAAGGAACTCGCTGATGGTGAAAAGATGACAGGTCTTCATTCAGGCACGGCTCGGTTTCTGCTCTCCTAGCACACACCGGGGCAGTGGTTTTCAGCTGTCTATGCTCATCAAAGTGACCACTTGCTCGAGCTTGAAGGCCAGTCTCTGTTTCCTTGCAGCATCATCCTGTTCCAGTGCAGACACAATCTGTGAGAACAGAAACAAAAACAAAATTGTATTCTCTTGCCCAAGACGGTTGTGCCAAGAATAGATTGAACCTTGGAAAAAACGGGAAGCAACTAAAGGATTAACATTGTTTTTATTAAGCAAGTGGAAGCTGTGGTTTGTGGAGGTGAAATTCACAGTTCTGTATAAACTATAGCTTTAGTAAAACACATGGGCTCGCAATGAGCCAGGGAATGGAGCTGACCTGATATGAGCAAACTGCTTTATGCTATACATCATTTTCTGACCTGTAAGTTGTCAAAGAAACCATTGATGACAAAAGGCTGTTCTGATTTGCTCATTATTTCACGGACAGATCTTTGTAGGTCTCCCAAATGTACCTTTTAAAATTCACTGTATCACCCCGTTTAAAGAAATGAATGGGCAACCTACAGCGTATTTTGTAATCTGTTAAAGGCCCAAGATTACACATTACTTTATAACTTTTACTAGTAGGCATCCAGGACAACTTATAATATATATACTGTATGAAATTTACAGTTAGAGGTCATGTATGTACAAGTTGCAATAAACCAACAAAAGGAAAAACAAGGCCAGTACAACCTGGAAAAGCTATTCATGCACTGTACCTTTCACTTTACATACAAATACCCCCCAAATAAATGTGAATTCGGGATGGAGGTCCAGATTAAAGACTTCTTCGGAATAAAAATAAATAGTATACACTATAAAACATCAGCATAAAGAAACTAATATGACACGATGGCTTCCAAATAATCAAATGCATTATATTTTTCGTTAAGAAAAGTCTTTAACTGCAAATTCTGCTAGAATGCAGCAGGCATTTCATTGTATGACATTATACATCAAACAGCTTGAGAAATCCTTGAAAACCCCGATATACCCACAAATCCAGGAGTGTTACAAATTACCATACATGCATGCTGATTTTTGTAGGCCATACTAAGGATGTCTTTAGTAGCGAAGCTGAAAGGCACGGAGGGAGAACTCCAGAGATGAAAACAGCAGCTATGCCCTTGGGAGACTATTGCAGTTTCACCTTTTTTTGCCATGTATGATTTCTTTTAATCTTTCCAGCCGAAAGCAATCTTAAGCAGGCTAGGAAGAGGTGCCGGAGAAAGGAGTACACATCAATAAAGCCAATCAGATTAAAGGAAGTCCGCCACAGTGGCTGCAGCTATTTCATCTCACTCTTTGTAATGGGATGTTTCTGAGCCGTGCATGGAGAAGGCTCGGGTGCTCTATGAATGAATAATAAGGAATTAAAATGTAGTAAAAAAAGATCGCTTTTCTTATAGCTGGATGACATTATTAATCCCTTTGTCTTTATATAGAGTAAAAAATGAGCCTGGTCACATTCCTCTAACTGTAAATTATAGTTAGAGAGAATGAGGGAAAAAACAAGCATGACATATGCAACACAGATTTTCATCCCATCCCTAAGAGTATTTCCTCTAATGGCTGGTGGCTGACAAAATGAAGCAATATTTCAATTTACTGCTTTTCTGTTCTTTGCTCAGACAAACACGCTCTGCTTTGTCCCTGTAAATGCTTTCCCATCTACAATTTCAATTTAGTCAAAAGATGGTACAGTACATTATAAAGCGCTTTCAAAGCATTTAAATCATTTCAGTTTGGTTCGCCTCACAGGCAGGCTGGACAATCTGCACAAAAACAATATAAAACAATTTGATTTGGGTCAGTTTATCTGTCTTCGAAATACAGAACTGGCTCTTCAAAGCAATCTTCAATTGCTTATTGCTCTTCCTTAGAAAGTGGCACCATAGAGCAGGGCTAAAGATGTAAAGCATTCAGAAGTAAATGAGTAGTGTGCCTTTAGAATATTTTGGAGAACCATTATACAGTATAACATCTATCAAAGTTAATAGGCCAAGGGGTCATATGGACATTGGAGTTTGGTCTTCTGCCTATGTACTGAGTTGCCTCCTTGAGTTAGAATTATTATACTGCATTATGTTCCAAACCTGGGAGAACAAACTGACTTGCAGCATAATTTCTATATTCACTTTAATGGAACAAGTAAAGGTTTATTCCATGCTAAAAAGAGAAGAAAAACACAACGGTTTGGCTGTGGAGCCTTCTTCGGGTGTTCACTTTAACGCTTTTTTTGTACTTACCTCCTCACTGTACTTTCCAACATATGAGTAAATCTCACTGAGTGAGCTCATTGTGTTGAATTCATTCATGTGCATGCGGGACTGCTCCGCTAGGTAGGCATTCATATCCTGATCGCTAATGGCAGGCATCTTACCGATGTCTGAGTAGTACCTGTTGAAAACACCACGAAAAGCAAGATTAGAAACCATGGCTAGAAAGAATTGCCCAATAAGATAAAGGCCTTGTTCATGCTAAAGAACTGACCTTGAAAATAGCATTTAAAATTGTTATAGTTACTCCAGCTCAGAGTGTCCACACTGCTAATAAATTTGTAATTTACTTGAGCTTACTGTGTCCAGACATGATTAGTTTCAGGTCCTAACAGAGCACTGCACACTGAAAAACTAATTTGCTGCTATCGCACCACACATTATATTGTTTTGCAACCTGGAAACGTGTAACATATTGCTAAAAAGATGGAGTCTGTCTTTCAGAATACTTTGTTTTCTTTCTTTTGAGTTTCCAAACATCTCATGAATGTGTATTCAGCAGCATAAAAATAAAAGGCAATTTGCTCTATGAACTATACCCTTTCCATCCATTCATCCATTTTTCTAACCACTTCATACAATTCAGGACCACAGGGTAACTGGAGTTTATCTATGCAACCAATGGACACAAGGCAGGGTACACACTGGATGGGGCATGGGTCCATCGCAGGGATCGCAGGGCACACTCAGACAGACATGCACGAATTCACACCACGTCAAATGTTCCCGGAATGCAATTAACCTACCAGTATGTCCTTTGGATTGTGGGAGGAAACAAAAGCAACCAGAGGAAACCCACACAAGTATGGGGGAACGTACAAAATCCACGCAGAATTGAACACATGGCCACAGTGCTGCGAGTCAGCAATGCTGACCAAATATAATAATCACATTATTCATACTTTCTTTTACTAAAACTGAAAGCCACGTAAAAAGCATGAAAAAGACTTCACTTAAAATAACTACTGTGTAATACAGTATAAGTTACAATAGATATTCGCAAGGAAGGTTACATCCTAATCTTGAACACTCCGATTTACCTACCTAAACACATCTTTCGTCCAGGACATCCTTTCAAGAATCTTTCTCACACATTGCGACAGACTCCCTTGCTGAATCCTTGCAATTGTGAGGGGTAGGGGGTTTTCAGCCTCAGAAAGGATGCCATTCCTTTAGCTACAGTAGGTGAGCTTTGCCAAAACATTTCCATATGCATACTGTATATTTGTCTTTCACCTGCACTTTAAGGTACTGCACTGTTTGCACTATGTCCTGTCTTGGCTGTATTATAACACCTATTGTCCACGTCTGTTTGTCATTTGTGCCTATTTTTTACCTTTACTATTACTGGGTACAGCTCAACGCGTAAGCCTTCCAATACACTTGTTGTATATGGCAAATAAAAAAAGGTTAAATCTTGAATCTCTCACATTCATTCGAACTGCTGAAAAATATTGTTTACAATTTGCTTAGAAAAAAGATACTGCTCCTCTGAAATCAATCCAGGAAAGAGTGACTAGATACAGTGCATTCTCAGGTTTAGAGTAATGTCCTACAATGACAGGCTAGACAAACTGAACTTATATTTTTTGTATTGAGAGAGATGTCTACAAGGGGATCTGATAGAAGTATTCAAAGTCATCAAAGGCACCGACAAAGTCCATCAAATGCACTTCTTCAGAATAACTGAAAAATGAACCGGAGGACAGTCCAAATGCAGGAATCTTGGTATAATTTTTAATCTGTTGCTTGCTTTCTATTGTACTGCACCAAGACTATTGAATAAGCTCTTCCACATTCAGTTTTGAACATCAGTCAGCTCCCTTTATACACCAGCTTTTAATTCCGGTTAATTTACAGTTTTAATATATGTATACCTTGAGACACAATGTCAAATAAAAAAATATTATTACAAGCAGAAACTCGGGAGAAGTGCATTAAAAGCTGAGAAGAATTTTAATTGCCTGAGAGGCAGTTTTTTACACAAAGGTGATGTGAGTCTGGAATAAGCTATCCAGCCATGTTGTCAAAGCTCATATCCTTCTTTTTTTCAAGTAACCAAATGCAGGAGTGCATTTGTTCTTTATGTTCTTGAGTCATACTGTCACTACAGAATGTGACACTGTAACTAAAACTGCACCTTTTAAAACCTGGCAATACTGAGATACACCCTCATTAATGTGACTAAAAATGTATAAGTAACTGGAATGAATAATATCATTGTTTGATTTAAAGGTACACAATTTAAAACGATACAGGATAATGGAGAGAAAAGAATGTGTTTTATAGTGACACTGCTCTTTGACATCAGTATTCCAAAATCCTTAAAAGCTTCCAGATGTTATATTGTAGCATATAGAAAGTGCAGGCGTAGAACAAACAGCTCCTCCATTACTTTTTAGTTTATGATATGGAGTATACTGTAGTTTTGATTAAAATATAAAACAAAAAGATTAGGATCCTACCTGAGTATACAGTATCTGCTGAGGTTATCTAGATTCTAGAACACAGTTATTGAGTGCAGTACTGAAAGCTCTACTATGCTTAATATAAACTGTAAGGTTATCATTTCAAAGGGTACAATCATGGGATATAAGGATGAACATACAAAATAACCATAATTGTGTCTTTTTCATAATGATAACTATCACATTTAATTATAAAGTGATACATGAATAGTTCTGGATCTGAAAATGAGGAGGTTGGAAAGTCTACAGTAAAACAAAGTTAAATTACTTTTTAATTTTAATTTGAAAGGAAATGATTTGAAAACAAAATACTGTAAATCTTTTCCTGTTATTCCAACAACTCACAAATTGATCATTTTTTAAAGCAAATTTGTTGCATATATTATAATTGATCAATAGCTTTGAATTATCCAATAGCTTTGGATAATTCACACAATAATTTTCAATATGTAAAAGAGGTTTACCTCCCAATTGAATATTTTTTTACCTAGCTGTCAGCTGGAAATAACAAGCCAGGTAGCTGATGGATTTTTGTTTGCCACAGGCCTCTAGCTCCTGGTCAGTCCATACCTGCCAACTGAGGACTGAGACTGCTGGACTGCGTTTGTAACATGGCAAGCATAGTAATGGTTTAGTTCTGGGTACTGTTTATTGGCATGCAAACATTTCAGAAAGTAATACTGATGCTCACAAATGTAAAACCGACTCATTACTTAAAACAGCCTGGGCTGAAAAATAGGCTTTCATTAATTTGGTCTTCCTATTCTCTTCAGTATTGTGAACAAAGGATTGACTTTGCAGTCTGCTAATTTTCCACAGACAAGCTTTATTGTTAAGCCTGGAATATCTATACAAATAAGGATCTGTGAAACAACCACTTCTGTTTTTGTGTTTCTTTAAAATGACATAAAATTATTGTTTGTATTAATGCCATAAAATTCATATCCATTCATCACTACTGCGTATTCCAGGAAAAATACAGTTCTTGAAAATAAAGGCCAATAACATAATTACTGTACATCCTGGAGGCCCCATCCCACTCCTTCTCATCGGGTTTTCATTTTTGCCATTGTTACCGGCACTTTCCTCATTCAAGTGACAAACAACTTCCTGCTACCCGTAAATCGACTCCTCTGGTTCCAGAATGTAAATGCAACACATTAGAGAGCCGCGATGGCTCTTAATGGGCTTTTGCCCTTGTAAAGTACTTTAAATAGAGCTCCTCACTATAAAGGACACCTGTCTGGCTTCTCTGCTGTACCCCCCCTCCCCTACTCTTGTATAAGGTCTTAACTGCTTCAAAATAAAGAGGGCTGGAGGAAGACAATCAGTCACTGTCAACTGCAGCTGTGCACCCCTGTCAACTTGTTAATTAAACTCAATCATTTACATTTTTAATTCCTTCAACCTGACATCTTCTGGACATAAAAATTTGACTTGATAATAGTCTATTATACAATTAGGAACAAAAGCTTGCCAAGCCAGGGTAAGTGACAGGTGTCCAATGACTCACCGCCAGGGCACAACACACCTGCTGATGTGGGGAGCACTTAGAAAGCCACTAGGAGCTGAGGTAATTTTTCATTCAGAACAAAAGCTAGGCAGGGGTACTTTGTTTGGGTTGTTTCCACTTAGTGAACAGAGCTCTGCGTTTGTTTTCTGAAAGACCGCTCCATATTTAAGGGTTAGATGGTACAGTGCAAAATTGTCAGGCTAAGCTGACATGGCTTGTGTTACATGACACTTTTCAGATGTTCATAAGCGGTGCAAAAAAAAAAAAACACTGTCAATTCTACATCAGTGTTCATAGGGATGTGCTGGATTCTGCTATGGTGTCTTATTCTTTGACAGCCTCAGGTAAATTCTTCAGGGGGCCTCTCTTACTTGTTTAATCGCCTCACTAAACGTTTGAAAGGAAAATATTAAATAAAACCCAAGGTAAAAAGTCTGAAATTTCTCCAGGACCCTTGCATTTAATGGGAAGAAAATCTGAAATAAAAGAAGGTAATGCTTCCACGTCAAGTTTAGATAAGTGACAGTCAAGGATAGGCACAGTGCTACTAAATCACAAAGCTGCAAAGTTATTACTCTGTGGAAATTGTCAAACCATGACTCCTATACTCATCAGTATAGGTTGAGTGAAGTTTATATTCAGTATTTCAAGTCATGTTAAAGCAGCCTTATGAATCCAACAGTGAAGGAAAGTTTTCTTCTAAATATGAGCAACAGCATGGACTTCACTGGAGGTGAAGCAAAGCCATCAGCAACATTTAATGTGACTGTCCACCAGGAAATGTCATCTTGAAGCCTACTGGGAACTTTCACACCCCAGTTCAGCTTGTCAAAAGACTCTCACAATACTCAGTAAAGCAGATCAAGGAGTTTTATATTTTATTTGGTCTGCTTTGTTTACTATCATTCACTGTTTAATTTGCTTTTTAATGGTAATAACAACAATGGTGGTAAATTGTCAAGCAGTATTAAATGGCTCTGCCAGAGATTCCGAATTAGTTCAGTAAAGCTGCAGGCAAGTCTTTACTTCTGTGTTGACAGCAATTCATCTTCTGTTATACAGTCAAGAAAATCAGTTTGTCAACAGGAAAAGTATTGCATGTGAACAATTTTTGTCAAATGTGACATTGCAAGTATTTTA